CGGCAGCCAGCAGCCTCTTCTTCGATGGTGTTGCGAGTGAGAGCCAGGCCAGCAGCATCCCGCCGGCATCGCAGTTCAACACTGGCACGGGTGGTACCTTTGATATGGCTCAGGTCTTCGGTGGCAGCACCAACAACCTCTTCTTGGAGAAGTCTCCCTTCGTGGAAGGACTCAGCTACAACCTGAATGCCATGCAGTATCCCAGCCAGTCATTCCAGCCTGTTGTCTTGGCCAACTGAACACAAGGAAAGAGAGTATTTTGGGGCAGGGAGGGAGGGGGGAGAAACAAGAACAAAACAAACGAGGGAGAGAAAAAGAAAAATAGAAATATACAGAAAATATTCAAACCTTATAAATATAGCTTCTTGGGAAAAGAGAGAGCCCAGTGTTGTTGCGCTGTGCTGGCAACGCTCCTGAAGCACTGATTTGTTTTTTTAACTCAGTCCCTATGCTTTTTTCCTACTCACTTTTTTACTCTTTAAATGAGTCTTGGGATTTTTTTTGGTTCATGTTCCCCCTTCCCCCAGCCCAGGACTGGTGCACCTATAGGTCATGATGCTCCTGATTTCCTGCACCCCCCCGCCAGCGCTGGACACAGGGTCCTTCCACCTGGGTGTAGGGATGTCTTCTTCATACCACCTCGCTGGAGGCTGGAGGAGGGATGGGGAGAGGATGAGTCAGTGGAGATACACACGCTCTTGTTGCGTGCTAGCCAGAAATGGGTGGGTGAGCTTGCTTGTTCTGTTACGGGTCTGCGTGTAGACGGAGAGCATCTACTGTGCCCACAGGCGTACGCTGTTGTGCTGCTGTTGCTCCAGCCCAGGCTGGCGTCAGCTGCTCTGTGTGCTGCAGAGCACTAACTCTTCTTGACCACCTCCCAGCATGTAGCAGGGAGGGCAGAGCGTTACTGTGAAATGGCTTCTTCCTGTTCCCTTCCTCACCTGCGCTTCCAGCCGCAGCTGCAGGAGGACAGTGCCTTGAACCAAGTGGCTGGTTATTGTCCCCTTCTGAGCAAGGGGGCCTTGCTGTGCCCCCCAGGGCTGGCTGGGCAGTCTGGGCTGGGTCTGAGTTCTCATTCCCTGCTGTGAATTCATCGTCTTGTCTCAAAGAGGGAATTCCTTCTTTTTTTAGTTAGCAAGGCAGCACAACTTTAGAGGAAGAGGAAGGGCCATGTTGTTGAAGCTGCTCTCTTGAGTGTGGTAGCATAAGGGTTTGTGCTTTCAGCCAGGTACCCACCTGACTAAATCCCCTCCCCTGCCCCTCTGGAGGAGTGGGAGGAAGCAAATGATCCATCATGGAGGGGAAGCACCTAGCCCAAACTCATCATTCCAGCCAGATCACGTCAGTGCAGATGGTGGTATGCTTAAAGCAGCGTGGAGCCAGGCGCTCAGGTGAGCGTTCATCCTGGTGGCTCAGTATACAGTGCCTCCCTGCCACGGGGCCCGGATCGGGAATGCCCCTGCAGCTTTCCCCAGGATAATGTGCTGCAGTTGGGCTGCAGTAGCTTTACAGCTAGGTTGCTTCTGTGTCAGGGACTCCAAAAGCCACCTTCACAGGAAGCTGAAGGAGGGCTGCTTCTTTCCCAGGCAGGGTGGAGGCTCTCTAGGTAGGAAGGAGGCTGCCTTGGAGGCTGTTGTGGGAGTATGGAAGTGTGCAGAGAGGAGAGAGATGGAGATGATGAGACTCCAGTCTTCGAAGTTCTCAGTTCAAAAGAAAAATAAGCTGCTTTTTTTGCCGCCTCTCAAACTTGAGGTTTGGTTTTCTTTCAGTGATGTCTCTGGAGCACCCACTGAAACCCACTTCTGCATTTGTCAAATCCATGTGCTCTTTCAAGACATCCCTGTTTCAGGGGAGGTGGGCTTGAACCTGTGCTTCTCCTGCTCCCTCCCCTCAGATGAGGTGAATGCACTCTGGCCCTCTTGCAGTTGTGCTGCCAGTGAGCCCCAGGTAGGCTTCCACTGCCCAGAGCTCTGCAGGGACAGTTCTCGGCACCCTGCCCCTTGCTGGGTGGAGGCACAGTCCCCACCTCCCTTCCTGAGCAGGCTGCTTGCCATGGAGCTATGACCAACACGCGGGTGGGCAGGGAGGGTGGCTTCCCCCAAACCAGCCTCCGTGGGCTTCCACACCAGGACACGTTGCTGAGGAATGGCCGAGTAGTTGGGTTTCCCGTTTGTTTTCCTTGTGTTTTTTGGCACGCAACCCCCACTGATGGACATCATCACTGCCACCCCATCCTTCTCCTGCTGTCCCCGCATCTGGATAGCGTGCTCTCCTCCAGCACAGGAGGAGAAAGGAAAGGAGGAGGGAAAGGTTGGGATAACCCCCCACTCTGTCCACCTGCTTATGTGTGTGAAGCTTTGATGCCGCTTTGCCCTGCCACACATATTCTATCTGCTTGAAAACACAGTGGTGTGAGTGAGTGGAAGGAGGAAGAAGAGGAGGGACCAACCTCTTTGTATCTTAAAAGGAAAAAAGTGTGCTTCAGAAGTGTTCCTCCAGCGTCAGGCAACGATGGAAACTTAATGGCCTTTTCGGGTCTTTTCTAGTCTTGGATGTAGGCGTTCAGCTTCGAGTTTATTTTTTAAAAACCTGCACTAATTTCCCTGGTTTCTTAGGAAGAAAAAGAGAGAATTTTTTTTTTTTAACTTTTTATTTTTTATGGGTTTGTGTTCTCTTTTTTTTTTTTTTTTGTTGATGTCCGTTTGTATTGAATAATTTGCTACATTTGTAAAATGTAAGAGGTATATATAATATATGTATATTTCTAACGTAAAAAAAACAAAACTGTAATTTTTTTCTTTTCAAGATTTTTTCTTAAAAAGAGGAGAGAAAAAAAATAATATTTTTTCAGGAAAAAAACTTTAAAAAAAAAAAGAAGTGGTGAAGATTCCTTTCTCCCTGCTCCTGCAGCCTCCCTCCTCTCCCTCCCGCCCCTCTCCGAGGAGTGAATCCACAGTTGCCTTGTGGGAGAGGAGGAGTGGAAGAGGCCAGAAGTCTGTATGTCTCTGAGCAGAGGGTTTCTGTGTGCGCTCTGCTTTTGGGGTTCTTTTCCCAGAAGGGGGCTGCTGAGAGGGGGGACCCAGGGGGTTGCTGTCTTTTATTTTTTATTTTTCTCTTTATTTTATTTTTATTCTTTTCTTTAGCGAAGGAGGAATACAATCAGAGTTTTGTATTCAGAATGTTGTGCAATATTTTGGAAGGGGACATTGGTGTGTCTAGAGATTTAGTTAAAAACAAAAAAAAGGAAAAAAAACAAAAAAAAAAGGTTGATCAAATCTGTACAGTTTCTATTGTTCCAGATTTTTTTAAGTTTGTATTAAAAGCATGATATAATAACTGCTTGTCCTGTGGTGTTTATGACTGGGGGGGCAGAGAACACCTCTGCTCTCGGGTGAAGAGGCGCTTGGTGGTGTCCCTTCGCAGGTCAGGAATAGCCTGGTGGTGGCCAGGCTTGTGCGAGACATCGGGGGCAGCTGCCTCCCTGACCTTGTGCTGCCAGGAATAGCAGTGGCGTAGGGAAAAGTGTTGGGGTACCTGGTCCTGCTTGATTCAGCTCCTTGAGCAGGGGTAGCCAGGGCTGAGTGGGGCTTCAGCCGGTCACTGCGCAGGGTAGCTGAAGCCTTCCTTCCTTGTCAGTGGTTTCAGCAGAGGGTTGTGGGGTGGTTTCTCTCCCCTCTGCAAAAGAGTTTGGGGTTCATCCTGGGGTACTTGGGAAGCAAAGGAAGCCTGAAGGTGTGTGTGCAGGCCATGTCCTCCCCACTGTGTATGCTTGTTCGTCTATGGTGACTCCATGTAGGAGGATGGGCTTGGGGTTGGACAGAACAAGCAGTGACGATGCAGGTCTGATTTTGCTCCTCTTTCTAACCTCTCACTGCTCAGCTTTCATTATAATTTCTGTCAGAGGGCAATCCTCTCTCTCTCCTTGGTGAAAGGAGGTGAGATGGCCCCTCTGTGCTGAGGAGGATGCCGAGATTCCTGTCCCGCCCCATGGCTGTGGACCCAGCTTCTCTTGCTGCTCCAGGGGTGCCTTATGGCTCTGGATGTACTTGGTGAAACCAAACGTGGAGCCAGGACTGGAGGGCAGCGCCCACCAGCACCCTTACCCATGCCCCCTCAAGCCCCTTGAGCCTGAATGTCTTCCTGGAAGAGCTCGCGTTGCTCTGCCCTTGGCTTTGCAAGCTGCTGCTCGCGCTTGCTGTGCGCCACGTGACTGTCACCCTCTGCTAAGCAACAAAACTATTTTTTCCCCTTTGTGTCTCAAACCCCTTGTAATCATTTATCTCGAGTGTGCACCAACGCTTGCCCTTAGACATGTTTCTGGGAACAGAAAACCGAGGGCGAGTATGTGCCTTCCTGATCCTTGCCCTGTATTTGCTCAGCTGTGACGCAGGGAGTCATGGAGCCTTTCCCTTTTTGGGCACAGGTATGGCTGTGCAGCCTGGGCAGGGATTAGGGAAATGGCTTAGCATAGCCTCGTTCCTCCCCGAGGTATTGGCCTCTCTGCTGTCTCGGGGAGCCTGAAGGGTGTGGGGAGGTGAAACACCTGCCTGGAAGCGGTGTGTTGGGACGGGGATCTGCCCTCCATCAGCCTCCAGGGAGGGAAGGAGGTGCTGGAGCCCCGTGCTCAGGTGGTGCCTGCGCGTGGGAACGTTGCCGGCTGTTCGGCAGCAGCTGAGTCGGTCCCCGAATTGGGTGCCGCAGCAAAGCACAGCAACAAGATGGGGCTTGTCTCCTGGAACCTCCGAAGCGAGGGGCGTGCGGGTGGTGTTTAGACACTCGTCACAGGGGACTCCGTTATTAAGAAGGAAACGTGCAACTTGAGTCACCGAGCGGGCGGGCTCCCATCTGAAAGAAGGAGACAGCTCTCAGAGAAGATGCCGTGCTTCAGCCTTGGGCTTTTCAGCCTGTGACAGCAGCAGTTTCTGACAAGAATCAGGCTGTTCTGGGAGAGGGAGGGGGCTGGCGCCCACAGGAAAGCCTTATGCAAGCGGGAAAAGCCGGCTGTAAGGCAGCCGTGCCCTGCACTGCGTTTTCAGTATGGGCCCAGCCAAACAGCCCAAGTTTGTTCTGGCAGGAGAGCATCTCCCACCGCCCCAGAGCCTCCCACAGGCTTGGGATTGTTGGGATTGAACAACACATGGCACAAGCGCTGCTGACAGCAGGTGCCTTCCCTGCGCCGGCACTTGCCGACGTGCCAGCACCGAGAGGTGGAAGAACACGGCTGGGACCTGCCGAGTCC